CTGGGCAACTTGTCCCCCACCCCCACCACCCTCTGTGTAAAGAAGAGCCTCGTGTTTAAATGGTTTTTGCTTGCCCGCTGATGTGTTGCCATACGCAGGGCGTGTGTGCGGGAGGGGGGCGTGTGCTGTTAAGAATCACTCTGCTCATTGCCCTGCTGTGTGCTCTGTGCCCCCAGAGGTGGTGAAGAGGGTGGTGTTCAAGGGGAGGGCTCCCGTCGACGCTGAGTGCAAGGCCAAACTGGGCAAGGTAACGTCCCTCCTTCTCATCTCCTCATCCTCCTCTTTTCTCTCCTTCTCCATCATCTCATCCTCCTCTTTCCTCTCCTCCATCATCTCAACCTCCTCTTTCTCTCCTTCTCATCCTCCCCTTTCTCTCCTTCTCCATCTTCTTCTCCTCTTCTTTGTTCATTTGTGTGAGAGTGAGAGTGTGAGAGTGAGAGTGTGAGAGTGAGAGTGTGAGAGTGAGAGAGTGAGAGTGAGAATGTGAGAGTGAGTGAGAGTGAGTGTGCGAGAGTGAGAATGTGAGAGTGTGCGAGAGTGAGAGTGAGTGTGTGAGAGTGAGTGTGTGAGAGTGTGAGTGTAAGTATGTGTGTGAACGGTGGGGAGAAGACGGAGGGTAGGGTGCTCCCTGCACACAGAGAGAGGACGCGCTTCCTGCCATGTTTTCCGGGGAGAATTGAAGTGACGGGACTCTCCCTTCCCCCCAGGCCCATGTGTACTGCGAGGGAGAGGATGTCTATGACGTCATGCTGAACCAGGTAAGAGAGCCGGACTGGTGGACAGTCTGTCCTCCGGGCTGGAGTCACGACTAACCAGGCCCGTGTTCTGCTGTCCCGACGTTACAGACAAACGTCCAGTTCAACAACAACAAGTACTACCTGATCCAGCTGCTCCAGGATGACGGGCCGCAGGTCTACAGCGTGTGGATGAGATGGGGCAGAGGTACTAGCCTGTGTGTGACTGTGAGTGTGTGTGTAGAGGTAAAAGTCTGTGTGTGACTGTGAGTGTGTGTGTAGAGGTACTAGCCTGTGTGTGACTGTG